TCCGGTCTCGTCGTCCGCCTCGGCCTCCTCGTCCTCGTCGCCGAGCTCGACACCATCGCTTGCCTCCCCTCGCCGTGCTCCCCTCCGCTCCTTGGCGTTCCCCCCTCTTCCGGCCCCTCTCCGGCTCTGCTGCCGGTCACCTGCCAGCGCGCCCGTGGTCCTGGGCCGCAGCGCGACCAGACAGCTCTGCGCCGCGACCAGCGTGCAGAACTGCGCTGCTCGTGGACAGGCGGAATGCTCTCACGGGTCGGACTGCAGGATCGCGCTTTGCCGCTGACGCAAGCGCTTAGCTGGTGACCGGCGAGCTGCCTTGCCATACTTTTTAGCAACCGCAGAAGCGCGCCTTCCTGCTGATGCGGTCACCTCACGAACATGTGTCACGTGTAGGCGCCATTCACGGCCGCACGAATACCGTGATCATGCGACCTCCCTTTGACAGACTCTCTTGGGTTTCTTGGGTTTGGGGTCGTGGCCCTATCTCTTTGCACGGCTGCCGCAACCGCCGTCGTAATAACAACCTCCTCCTCTTCTGGCCACCTCCCTACCTTGCCGCGCTTGTCGGCGCCATCATCGCCGCCGCTTCTAACGTAGCCGTCACATGACTACTTCACGCTACCATGGCTGCCAACACTGCGAATGCCGCTGTGAACGTCGCCGCTTACGTCTGCCCACCTATTGGACAGGCTGCCCTGTGCCTGTCCGTTGACGTTGCTTGGCTTGGTCGGTGTCCTGTTGGGGAGACGCAAGACTCGGGTTCGGAGGACTCAGGTTGGCCTGAGGAGGCCACCATGAACATGACGAGACCCAATCTGAAATTTGACGCGAGCTCCCGCTGCGAGGATCCCACGGACAAACAGGACCGTCAAAACCCCCCAAAGCGTCGGCGACCCCCAGTTCTGGCGTCCTCCAGATTTACGCTTCCCAAATTTTGCCTGAAGGAGTTCCCCTTCCGCACTGCACTTTCACAGGCTCCGCCCGGGCGGGGTGGGGGCGGCGGCACCCAGGGCTGCGTGCACACAGTCCTCGTGCTGCCTGAAAGGCCGCCGAGTAGAGAACCAAAGGGCCGTGCCGGCCACGGCGACCCTCGTCACGGCGACCCTCTGTCTGTCTCTCTCTCTCTCTCTCTCTCTCTCTATATATATATATAGATATACAGATGTATATCTCACCAAACCCGAGGATACGGAAACGGCCCGAAAGCCCTCCTTAGCCGCAAGTGGTCCTTGTTTTAGCGTCTTGACTGCATCACCGACAGCGGAGTGGCGCGGAGGCGGGCAACCAAGAGAGGGAAGGGCCGTCGTGGTGCGAACAGCAAGGGACATCTCTGCAACACACATCCGCAGCCATGCCTGGCAGTTCTGGCGCTCCTCGCACGCAGCTCGGGACGAGTTCACAGGTGCGTACGCCTCAGCAACAGCTACGTGCATCACGGGCTGCGATCTTGGAGCTCTCCAGGACTGACCTGTCTGGGCGCTCTGACTGAATGGTGATCGCAATACGGCAAGCAACTGTCTGCACAACCGAGACGCTCCTATCCTCCTCCTCCTCCTCCTCCTCCTCCTCCTCGCCCTACTCCTCCTCCCCCTCCTCCTCCTCCTCCCCCTCCTCCTCCTTCTCCTCCTCCTCCTCCTCCTCCTCCTCCGAGAGAGAGAGAGAGAGAGTCAACGAGGGCGAAGGGAAACGAGGGCGAAGGGCAGGCCGGGCGCTCCTGCACTACCGTCCACTCGTTCGCGATCTTCCCGGACGCCACCTCCTGCGCCCACGGCTCTGCCCCAACGGCTCTCACACGGCACCTTCGTGCCGCGCTCCTCCTCCTCCTCCTCCTCCTCCTCCTCCTCCTCCTCGGCGCCGCGCAAATCCGCAAACCTGGAGGGGTCACGGACTTCTGATAGCGCAGACCGTTCGACATCGGCCAGTCCCGAGCCACTGTCGGCGTTCAACCTCGAGCGCTCGCGCTGAGACCGCCGCCGAGTCGACGCGGCGCAACCTGGGCGTACTCCACGGGGCAGGACTTCTGTGCCATGGGGAGGCCCAGCAAACATCACGGGTGGACCCGAACGGACCGCCCTACCAGAGCGAGCAGCACAGCTGTGCGAGGGAACAGGGGTACGCAGGCTGGACGGAGAAGGAATTAGCAACAGGGGGCCTGATGAGAAGACCTCGGCACAGGAGAGTCCAGACCAGGGGTCAATCGTCACGAGGGGAAGCACTGGCCATCGCTCGGACGTCCATTCCCTGCGTTTTTTGTTCGGTTTCGTGCGTTTTTTCTTCGCCAAATGATCAAGGATGCTCCTCGATTGTCCTCGCCGAAGGAAAAATATGCACACGTCCGAGCGATGCCAAAGAGGACTGCAAGGGATCGGGGACGAGCCCTCTCCCTCCTGGAGAAGCCAGACGGGGCCTGATGAGAAGACCTCGGCACAGGAGAGTCCAGACATGGGGGTCGATCATCACGAGGGGAACCACTGCAGGGGTCGGGGACGAGCCCTCCCTTTCCTGGAGAAGCCAGGGAGGCTGCCTCCACCCCCCCGCCTCCTCAGAGGCTCGGGTGTGGGCTGCGCGCGCCATGAGCGCCGCCCCCTCGCAAGCAGCACCCCGCAGCGGCGGGGCCTGCCCTCCTCCTCCTCCTCCTCCTCCTCCTCCTCCTCCTCCTCGACAATTACTCAATATGAATACTACTCTCCCTCTTCCCCTGATGGCGTGCTGGGAATAGCCGACCCCCCCCCCGCGTCTTGCTTTTTTACACACAGGATTCCCGGGAGTTGGGTTTTCGCTAGCATTTTTTTCAAAATGCTGCTCTCGCTGAGGCGCCGGCCTCATTTTCGGGCCCCGCTCATTCCGAATCGTGCTCCCGCTGCAGCGCTGGCCTCATTTCCGTGCTTCCGCCCGTTTCGACTCGTGCTCCCGCTGCAACGCTGGCGTCATTTCCCGTGCCATGCCACAGCACACGCGCACACACGCACACACACACCACCACCACCGCCACCCACCCAACACACCACCACCCACCGCCACCCACCCACCCCCCCTCCACACCCACACCACAGCCACCCACCCAACCCACCCACCCACCCACCCCACCCACCCACCCACCCACCCACCCACCCACCAACCCACCCACCCACCCACCCTCCCACCCACAACACCACCCACCACCCACCACCCACCACCCACCACCCACCCACCCACCACCCACCAACCCACCACCCACCACCCACCACCCCACTCACCCACCCCCTCCACCCACCACCCACCACCCCCACCCCCACCCACCACCCACACCCACACCACCCACCACCCACCACCCACCACCACCACCAACCACCTCCGACCACCACCACCACCACCACCACAACAACAACAACAACAACAACAATTACTAGCACGTGGGGACACTCCGTTCTCACCAGTGCCAGGGTTTTCATAGGAGGCGGGCAATACCCCCACTTTGTGGGGGGGCCGGTTCAAGCTCTACCAAATTTCCAAACGACTCTTCGCCACCACCCACACCCAGCTTCCCGCCCTATGACGTTCGGACACTTCACTTCGTGGCATGCGGACGACCGTGGCTACTATTCAGGGCCCCGCGGCCGACGACGACGGCGTGCGCGCGCGAAGAAAAAACGAATGTGTCCCGCATGGTATTATTTGACAGGGATGATGGCCCTGGCAGGTGCGCAACCGTTGTTGCAGAAGTTCGAAAAAGTTGCTCGCAAAAGCCCGTTTGACAGAAATGTTTAAAACATGTTGGGTTGCCTACGAATCCGCAAGAGCGCGCGGGATGATTTTTTTTTTTTTTTTTTTGTTTTGAAACTTGTTTTTTTTGATGTTTTTATGTTAAGATCGCTACGAAAACTAAGGTTTTGGACGGATTTCGTCTTGCGCGCGCGAATGTCCACTTTACCTTATTTTTTGCAAGGGATTCTTGCAGTTTGGTTATGTTAGAACAAGAAATGTCCACTTTAACTTATTTTTTGCAAGGGAAAGCGGGCCGTAACAAAACAACCGGATCCGGACCAACCCGTTTTGCCTGAGACTTCCTCACGAAAATGATGAAAATGTGGCTGCGGCCTAGGCGCGGCGGGGGGGCGTGCACCAGGGGTCCCAACAATAATTATTCTTTAGAAGTAATAATGTTCAACAACAACAACAACAACAACAACAACAACAACAACAACAACAACAACACAACAACAACAACAACAACAACAACAACAACAACAACAACAACAACAACACCAGCACACACCAACACCACACCAGCACCACCACACCGCACAGCAGACCACCACACCACCACAACCACGCACACACGCACGCACGCACGCACGCGCACCACCACCCACTACGCACGCGCGCGCGGAGCCACAGGTCCGCTACGACACGCGTCCGCGGATAGAGAAAATCAGCGCCATGGTAAGGGATGGGAGGGAGGGGTAGGACGTCAGATATGACGCGAGCGCACCTAGCTTGTCCTCCCACTCCTCCTCCTCCTCCTCCTCCTCCTCCTCCTCCTCCTCCTCCTCCTCCTCCTCCTCCCCCTCCTCCTCCCTCCCCCCCCCCTCCTCCTCCTCCTCCGCCTCCTCCTCCTCCTCCTCCTCCTCTTCCTCCTCCTCCTCCTCCTCCTCCTCTTCTCCTCCTCTCCCTTTTCCTCCTCCCTCCTCCTCCTCCTCCCTCCCCCTCCTCCTCCTCCTCCTCCTCCCTCCTCCTGCTCCTCCTGCTCCTCCTCCTCCTCCTCCTCCTCCTCCTCCTCCTCCTCCTCCTCCTGCGCCCTGGGGGGGGGGGGGGAGGCTGTGTCCGAGCCTGCTCCCAAGAGAGCCAGGCACTACTAGCGTGTGGGAGACGGATCCGGAAGGAAGCGGGTCCTGGACCCAAGGGGCGCTCCCCGGGGACGACTTCTCCGTCCTGAGATGCTTCCTGACAGGTCCAGGGCGCGTGGAAGGCCCCGAGCGTGCGAACGTGGCCGAAGACCCGAGGAAGCGGGTCGTGGACCCGGGGGGCTTTCCCTGGGACAACTTCTCCGTCCTGAGATGTTTCCTGACATTGAGCAGGGACCGACCGTCCCGGCATTGATATGGTCCTACCACGACATGTTCTTAGAACCCCAAAAATGTTCTAAGAACAAAAAAACAATGTTCTTAGAACATAAACCCGATGTGATGAAACAAAACAGTCTCAACCAGAAATGTTATAAGAACATTTCGTGGAAACCACACAAGATTCTTAGAAAATTGTTTGGTAGGGCTATAGGCGAGCCAGGACGCTTCGCCACTGCTTGATGACAGGTCCAGGGCGCGTGGAGGGCCCCGAGCGCGCGAACGTGGCCGAAGACCCGAGGACCCGCTTCCCGGAGGACCCGCCGGCCTCATGGCGGAAGAAGAGGGGGGCGGCGAGGACGAAGCAGTCGGGGGATCGCTGTCCCATCGTCAGGGAGGCGGGGGGGGGGCGTGATGCGAGGAACAACAGACTACATAAGCAGTGTTGGAGGTCCGTGCGGACTTCATGGACAGAAGAGCCCAGAATCGAACCGGTATGTCGGATCAGCGATCGAATGAATCGGATCTGCGGAAATCGGCAGCCACATCGGGAGAAATCGAATAGGCGGACACCGGCAGGCTAGTAATTATGCCTCCAATGAGAAATCGGAACTCAAATCCGAATCCCAAGTCGAATCGAATCGGAATCGGAAGCCATCGAAGTCGAATCGAGTCGAATCGGAGGAATCGAAACGAGCTCTACTTGGATCAGCACTGGACGCCCCTCCCTGGCGCGAGGAGCGCGCCAGGGGGCGGCTCCCAGGGGCGTTGCCAGGCTGGCCCTGCGCCGATGCAAGAAACCTGCGCGGACGCCCGTCGGGCATGTCCTCCTCCAGGTGGATTTTGGACGACAAGTGAAAACTAGCCAACAAATACTATTCAAAAACTGGCAGAACTAGTAGAAGCATCGTCCCCAGACCATCTGTGTGCCCCACTCGACTCGTTGTATCTTTCTGTTCCATCCTTCCCCGCCCTGGGAACGCGGCCGCCCTATAGGAGCGTGAGACCCGCACCTGATCGCTTACCCAGCCTCGTGCATGTCAGTGGTCGGGGGCGGCCAAGAGGGGGGCGTCCAAGAGGGGGGGGGGTTGCAAATCATGACCAGCAGCATGTGCGCTGCCCAAAGGGGGGCCGGGGACGCAATGAAACAAGAAGAGGCGCCATGACATCTGGGGAAATATTATGGCCCACGACATGATGACCCTCCCCCTAGTCATCACCCCCCTGTCAGCCGCCCCCGACGGGGGGCGTACAATCAAGGCGCTGAAAGAAGGACCGCTCGGGGCCTGGGAAGGGCCCGGGTTTCGGGGCCGTTCCTTCGATGTGTGTCGTGGAGCCTGTCTGTGGCCTACAAGCTCGCCGCGGCCAGCAAAGCCCTTTCGTTCTTTCTTTTGTGCGCTTCTTATGGTAGCACGATGCTTGTCGTGACCAGAGCTGTGCGCGAAAATCCGCCCGAATGTGAGCCCGACCTTTTCGAACCAGGCCCGAGTGGAACCGAACTGGTTGCTTCGAAGCCAACGCGATCTCCCGTCTCGGTCACACTGTCGTTTTACGCTTTTGGTTTCAGTCTCGCGCACGTTTTCGGCCACCTGATACTTCTAACGAATAATGGTCGAGCGGAGAGTGGTCGCGCACAAGACGCGCACAAGAAGCCTTGTAAAGGAAAGCGAAGCAAGAGAACGCGAATCCACGCCCAGAGCCCAACACAAGAGCCCACACAAGACCGCACAAGACATGCCGCGCAAGACCTCGAGCACGACCTCTATGACCACCCTTTCTTGTTAGAAATGTTTTTTTTTTGAGGACGCACGCCTTTCTGGCTGATGCAGTGCGGGCGCGGCCGCAAGAAACCCTCTCAAGAAACCCAACCCTGAAAACCCGCGCGCGAAGTGCACCAGAGGGGACACCTGGAGCACCCTGAACGCAGCAGCTCCTTCAACGGCCGCGGGGAGTCGCCGCGCCACGCGCGGAGCGAAGAAACCCAGGATACCCTGACGAAAAGTATATGGTTTCTTGATGCGCGCCCACACTGTACAGTCGGGGCGTTGACCTAAGGAACCCGAAATAAGGAACGAGGCCCCCTTTTCCCATAAGATAAACTTCGATTTCCCATCGCAAACACAAGGAAACCCTGAGGCAAGCTGCGAAACAATCAAGGAACACAGAGCCCCTCCCCAGCGAAAAGGGTTCCTTCTTCAGCGCCCCGACTGTATATGGTTTCTTGATCCCAGACCCCCGACATTTTTCATGACGTCGACCCCCAGCTGTCTGGACCCATTCCCCGGGACCGGTTTTTCGTCCTGAGTCGTTTTTTGACGGTCCCGAGGGCCGGTAAGGGCCCCCAGAGGCCAAAAATCATGAAAACCCCCCCGTCGTGTTTTTTTCATAACTCGAGGGGGTCTGGGATGCGCGCCCACACAGTGAGGTCCCGGCGCCACGAGATCACCCTCGCCGCGGGCGTGGCCTCTCGCCCTCTCGCACGGCCACCGGTCCTCCGCGAAGCGCGCGGCCCGCTTGGCGTAGAGCTCCGCCGTGGGGCTTCCGCTCCGCCTCGCGCGGGCGCCGGGGTCGCTCAGGGCTGTGCTCCTCCTCCCTCCTCCTCCTCCTCCTCCTCCTCCTCCCTCCTCCTCCTCCTCCTCCTCCCTCCTCCTCCCCTCTCCTCCTCCTCCTCCTCCTCCTCCTCTCCTCCTCCTCCTCCCTCCTCCTCCTCCTCCTCCTCCGCCTTCCCTCCTCCTCCTCCTCCTCCTCCTCCTCCTCCTCCTGGAAACGACAGGGCCGTTTTTTTTTACCGGTTCCGTTCTGCCGTTTTTTTTATTGCCGGTTCCGACGCCGTGTTTTCACCGGTGCCGTCGCCGGTTTTTGACCGGTTCCGGCTCCGGTTCCAGTCCTGGAGCCGTTTTTGTTGCCGTTTCCGGTCGCCGTTTTGTTGCCGTTTCCATTTTCAAGGGACATTTTTTGGGAAACAATGAAAAAGCGGCCCTGCCGTTTCCGGGGCCCACAAAGGTGCTGCATCCCGGGGGGACCTTGCTCGTCCCGTCGCGGGCCTGTCCGCGTCGAGAGCGTGTCGGATCCGTGTCGGCCTCGCTGGATCCGTCTCGAAGGCGTGTCGAGCCCGCGTCGAATCCGCGCCAAGTCCGCGTGGACTCCGCATTTTGAGCCCGCGTCGGGCACAGAAAAAGACACCAATGTTGGGGGACAGGCGAGGCCCCCCGGAGATGCGACGATGTCAAGGTGGAGGCGGGCGCAGGCCAACGAACCAGGCCCCCTCGCATCGTGGGACAAACACACTGCGGACAATTTTTCAGCCGTTTCCGGCCTCAGGACGAAGAGCCGTTGCCGGGCCGAGAACTCCAGGGGTCCACGCCGTGAAGAAGCCGTGGCGTCGGGGGTCCTGGGCATAGCGACGACGACGACACCATCAAACATCCGAGAGCCATGCCGCACGTGTGCTGGGGGTGCGACTCGCCCAGCGGTCCAAAGCGGGCTGCCCCCCACAAGGACAGTGGGCAGTTACATGGTGACTCGAAGATGCCAAACGGGCAAGGCTCAAAAACCGAGATAGTGCGCACTGCTGGCTTACACATTTCTCGTGATGGATATTCACTCCGCCTATAAGACCACCCTTCGATTGGTAACGGGCTTGGCATGTGGTGAATGTGTGTGTAGGTGTGTGTGTGTGTAATGTGTGGAGTCGAATGAAGATTCACATATCTTCCCGCATATATTTCGAATCGACCTGCAGATCAACACGCGTCGGTATACAAATATGTATGTACGTTGCATACATCTGTGTGTACATGTATAGGTGGCTATCTCCATCTGAACGTCTGTCTGTGTATGCAGTATATGTGTGCTCGAGTTGCCATACACCCATTGTTTGGGATCAGAGGCGCGTCAGAGGAGCAATCGCGTGTGTGTGTGTGCGTGTGCGTGTGCGTGTGCGTGTGCGTGTGTGTGTGTGTGTGCCTGTGTGTGTGTGCGTGTGTGTGTGTGTGCCTGTGTGTGTTGTGTGCGTGTGCGTGTGCGTGTGCGTGTGTGCGCGTGTGTGTGTGCGTGTGTGTGTGTGTGTGTGTGTGCGTGTGCGTGTGCGTGTGCGTGTGTGTGTGTGTGTGTTGGGTGGTGCCACAATTTTCGTCGATTCACTTGCCCACCGATGTGCACACCCATCCAATCACGCCGGTCGGCCACCGTGCCAGTGGCACGCTGGGGCGTGCTGGAATGCTCTTCTGCTGTCTTGCAAGGCTTCTCGAGGTTTCCAGGGCCGACCCCCCCTCGACGCAAGCATCCCCAGAAAACCCTCCCTGGTGTTTTCTGGCGCTTTTGCTTGGCCTCCAGATGGCTCAACAACAGCCAGAGGACGCCCAATAACTGCTGCAAGAAACCCAAACGACCATCCAAAGACTTACCTAAGAGCCCCCCAAAGGCTCCAAGACGTCTCCAAGATGGCCCAAGAGGCTCCCAATAGACTCTCATGGAAGCCACCAGCACGGCCCTCGAGAGCGAACACCATTCAATCACCCAAGACGGCCTCAAGAAAGACCCCATATGGCCCTCAGACTGCCCGATAACCCTCCAAGACGGCACAAGACAACTCCAAGACGTCTCCAAACCCGAGAGGACGGGGTCGAACTTAGGACCCGTGATTCAGACCGCTGAACAACACAAAACAACATCCGTGCGTTTTGCTTCCGAGGCCTTTCGGCTTCAATCCGCCTCGGGAAAACTTCCGATAGCCCCAAGAAACTCGAATCACGTTCAACACTGCCCCAGATAGCACCCACTTGGTCTCAAGCCTGCACGAGAACCCTCACATACGGCCCTAGAAGACTCAAACATGGCTCCCACACCGACGGACCGCATTCGAGTTTAAGGCTCGTGTGAGGTCAGACCGCGCACTGAACTGGCGTGGGTATTACTTTAGTAGTGGAAGCAATTGATTTTCAAAATGTTTGGTCTTTAGAAGCTCTGCGTGGCGACGCCCCCGTCGCCACGCGTGCCCTCTGCGTGCCTGCGGGGGCGCCGCCACGTAGAAGTACTGGAGACCGAGTATTTGGGGCGTCGCTACGCACGCCCTCTGCGTGGCTGCGACCGTTTGTTAAAACCCTAAAAACAATTAAATTCACGATTAAAGTACGTTCGCCCCCATTCGCACTGCGTTGCTGCGCTGGCACGGTGGCGGGGTTTGCCGCAAACAACTTCACACGTTCACACCCCCTGGTCTCCCCTTCTGGGAGGGGTTTGCCCTCCTCCTCCTCCTTCTCCTCCTCCTCCTCCTCCTCCTCCCCATTCACACTGCGTTGCTGCGCTGGCACGGTGGCGGGGTTTGCCGCAACCAACTCCACACGTTCACACCCCCTGGTCTCCCCCTCTGGGAGGGGCTTGCCCTCCTGCTGCGCCTCCTCCTCCTCCTCCTCCTCCTCCTCCTCCTCCTCCTCCTCCTCCTCCTCCCTCTCCCCTCCCCAGACATCCAGCGATGCACATCTGTATTTCAATTTATGTGTGTGCGAATGTACATGTACACACATATATATATAGATGTATACATACACATGTCTATCTACATATCTTATTTGGCGACGTTGGTTTGTTCAATTCGCTGCCCCATGCGTCCCGACCCTTGCCTAGGTTTTTTCCTCCCAGATCAAATTCTGATGGACCCGGGGCCCGAAGAGCGGGCTCCAGCGGCCGAAGCCACAGACGCACCTACGGATCGAGCAAAATCATATCGTCAGAGATCTGGGCATTTCCCTTCTCCTCCCTCTCCCCTCCTCCTCCTCCTCCTCCTCCTTCTCCTCCTTCTCCTCCTCCTCGTCCTCCTCCGTCCTCCTTCTCCTCCTCCTCGTCCTCCTCCGTCCTCCTCCTCCTCCTCGTCCTCCTCCTCCTCATCTTCCCCTGTGAGACTCGACGCCGCGAAAAATACACCGACGCGAACAAAAGCACCGACGCGAACTCTGTACCCAACATTCCTGTGGCCTGTCTCAGGCCACATCGATCTGTGAGGGTCCTTGGACCCGAAACCTTGCAGAAACGCCCTGGATCTCAGAGTCTTCGTCGTCGTCATCCTCCTCCGCCTCTTCATCCTGCTCCTCTTCCTCCGTCCTCCTCTGTCCTCCTCCTCGCCCTCCGTCCTCGGTCCTCTTCCGCCCTCCTCCCCGCCCTCCGTCCTCGGTCCTTTTCCGCCCTGCTCCTCCTCCTCACCCCACCTCCGCCTCCTCCTCTCAACCTCCTCCTCTTCCTCCTCCTTTTCCTCCTCCTCCTCCACCTCCTTCCCCTCCTCCTCCTCCTCCTCTTCCTCCTCCTCCTTCTCTTTTTCCTCCCCTCCTCCTCTTTTTCCTCCTCCTCCTCCTGGTGCTGCTGCTCCTCCTCCTTCTCCTCCTTCACTCCTTTTCCTGCTGCCGCACCCCGAGGCCAGTTTGTCAGGCGGGCCAGGCGTTTTGCCTTAGACTTCCTCGCCACTTATGACTCTGAAACTTTTAAACATGGCAACAATTTTACAGATGGAGGGCAGGTGGTTTTCGAAATGTGGCTCTCGCCTTAGCGCCGCGGGCATTCGCTCTAAACAAAATACCAGAGTTTCACGGGTTGAGGGCGGTTGGTTTTCAACATGTGGCTCTCGCCTTAGCGCCGCGCACACAAGAGCTTTGCGGATTGAGGGAGGGTGGTTTTCAACATGTGGCTCTCGCCATAGCGCCGCGCGCATTCGTTTGAAACATCTGCAACAATTTCACGGAGTGATGGCGGTTCCTGTTCAATATGTGGCTCTCGCCTGAGAGCCGCGCACATTCGCTTGAACATGTTGCAAGAGGCCCACGGATTTCCATCATCGTGCCAGGAGCAGTGTTTTGGAAAGATTTAAGATTATGCGGGCGCAACAATTATGTTGACTCGCGGTGTTGATGCCCCGAAAACGGCGTTCTGGCACGATTCCAGATCATCAAGACGCAGCAATCAGGTTGATCCGTGGTGTGGAAATCCCGAGAACAATGTTTTGGTATGCTTCATAGTCTCCAAACGGTTGTCTTCCAACGAGGCAGCTCCCTCAATGGAAATGAACCGTTGTAGGGGCCTATGATGGGGGAGCTTGGAGGGAGGGTTCACTCCAACATCGTTGATGACTCTTGGGTGTACACTAGTCCTCCCTCTCCTCCTCCTCCTCCTCCTCGTCCTCGTCCTCGTCCTCGTCCTCGTCCTCGTCCTTGTCCTCGTCCTTGTCCTCGTCCTCCTCCTCCTCCTCCTCCCCTCCTCCCCTCCTCCCTGCGTCCTCGTCCTCGTCCTCGTCCTCGTCCTCGTCCTCGTCCTCGTCCTCCTCCTCCTCCTCCTCCTCCTCCTCCTCCCTGCCTCCCTCCCTCCCTGCGTCCTGTTGCTAACTGCCCCTTGGGCGCCTCTCGGCGATGCGCTGCTCCGCCACGTCCGCGCGCGGGTGGCGCGCGGAGCTGGGCGCGCCGCCCTGGCTGGCCTGCAGGCCTCTCGCGGGCCGAGGGCGGGGGGGAGCGGATCGGAGGATGAGGATGAGGACAAGGAGGAGGAGGAGGAGGAGGAGGAGGAGGAGGAGGTGGAGGAGGTGGAGGAGGAGGTGGAGGAGGAGGAGGAGGAGGAGGAGGAGGAGGAGGAGGAGCGGCGCAGACGTCGCCCAGGAAGCGTCCCGTGCGCACAGGAGAAGCAAGAACGCGCCCAGAGCATAAACTTTTGGCGCTCCGCGCGGGTTTCTGGAATCTGCGCTGGGCCCCCCTCCCTGGCGCGCGGAGCGCGCCAGGGGCGGCGCCGGAGGCGCCGCTGGGGGTGGGTGGGGCCCGGCGCGGATCCAAGAAATCCGCGCGGAGCGCCAACAGTTCATGTTTATAGCGCTTTTTCTTCTTCGAGTGCAGTCGGGGCGTTGACCCAAGGAACCCCAAATAAGGAACGGAGCCCCGTTTTTCCAGACATGAAACTTCGATGTCCCATCGGAGACCTGAGGAACACCTCGGGCACACCGTGAAACCACGAGGGAGCACGGGGCCCCTCCCCAACGAAAGGGTTCCTTCTTCAGCGCCCCGATTGCATCGGGAGCGGCCAAGAGGGGGTTATCCAAGAGGGGGGGGATGCAAATCATGACCGGCGGCATGTGCGCGGCCCAGCGGGGGGGCCAGGGACGTAATGAAATGAGAAGAGGCGCCATGAAATCTGGGGAAATATCATGGCCCCCGCCATGATATCCACCCCCCCCTAATCATCACCCCCCTCTTTTCCGCCCCCGACCAACGAAAGGGTTCCTTCTTCCGCGCCCCGACCGCAGGGAAACGGCGGGTGCGCCGGGCCCGATTGCAGGGAACGGCGGGTGCGCCGGGGCGCCTGCGCTGGATCTGCGAGCGTGCATCGATCCCACAGGCCTCCACCGCTCGCCCTCGCGGGCTCGTGGGCGGGGGGGGAAAGTCGGGTGTTGCTAGAAGTGCCCCTGGCCCAAGGTGCCCCCAGCTTTCGCTTCATTTTTGAGCCCCTGGGGCCCTCTGGGCCTCGTGAGGGGTGCCCTGGAGGCCGTCTGGGCCACCCCGAGAATCCTGGGGGTACCTTGGGCTAGGGGTACTTCTAGCAACACCCGAGAAAGGGGCGCGATCCGCCCTCGGTCCCCCGAGGAGGCCTCGAGAATCGAAAGTGCACCAGCACGAGGGAAGCGGAGCTGCCGGCCTTGGGGCCCCGTGCCCGCGGCCTCGGCGCAGGGCGGCGGTGGTGCGATGGCCAGGCCGTCGAGGCGGCCCCATGCTGGTGCGCGTTCGCGTTCAAGGGCTCCCCCCGCGGACTCACCACACGGTGTGGTCACTGCGCCGTCTGGGGCCAGCCCGGCTGTCCTCTTCCGATGCCCGGCCAGGGCGGGCCAGATGCTGAAGTGTTTACGCGGCGCCCCAGGGCTCTCTCGGCCCTCGCGGGGCCATGGTGAGATGCCTTGGGCCTCCTGGGGCTCGTTTGTGGGTGCTGGGGGCCGTCTGGAAATCTGGGTCATCTCGGAGCGGTCTGGGGCCGTCTTGGAGCTGCAGTGGGGGCCGTCTTGGAGCTGGGGGCGCCTGGGGCCTCTTTTGTTTTGTTTCCTCGTTGCCGCGGCCGTGCTCGCTGTAGCCATCGCCACAAGCATGGGCTGTCTTCGCTCGACGCGTTCCCTGGCCCTGCGGGTCCGAAGTGACACAGTCATGTCTGCATGGAGTCCCCCTTCCCCTGGAGCAGCTGAGCAGCTGGGCCTGGAATGCGCAGGCCACCTTCAGCGTAACGCGCAAGGGTCGGGGCCACACGAATGACCGTACCTGCTTCGCGCACGTGCGGCCTGGCACCATCTGTAGACCATGACAAACGTGCTTGTGCAACAATTCCGGGGTCGAAACAGCACCGTGCATGTGCCACTTTCCCCTTTTGCACTGGTTCTATGGACTTGCATGGGATCTACGGAATCTCCAACTTTGTGTAGACCAGAAAAACCAGATTCAGAGCCCAATCCGACCCTCTCGCCTGTACCAAACATCCACGGACGGGCTCCGCGCCTTCTTGGTACCTTCTTGGTACCGCGCTTAACCAACCCTGGAGAGTGATGTACAACGAAAGATGGTCGCGATACTATTGGAGGTTGGGCATGTGGCACGCGCAGTGGTCGCACATACTGTTTGTTCCACATCGGAGCCCTCAACTACCACAAACAAGTAGATCGTGGATGGCCACGTAGATCACCCGAATGCGCTGGGGTGAGGTACACCAACGCAGCCAGGCAGGATGCGCGGAGCAATCGACATATTTTCGCTGTCATCCAGTGCGCCAACACCTTCCAGTATGTCCCACCAACACTGATGCGCGCCATTGGCGCGTGTGTATAAAATCGGTAATAAGTGATGAACCCCAACATATTCGAATCAGCTGATTGAACATTGTTCCGCACATCCATTTTCAAACGAAGAAGCTAATCACTGCGCGCCTCCATTACGATATCAGTTGGCGCAAACTTTCCGCACACCTTGTCTTCGTCGAGTCTGTGCCTTGTATACGCAGACATGTTTCACCACTGGTGTCTTCCCCAAGCTAAAGATCAACCTCACTGAGCAACCTGTGCGCTGGTTCAGAAATGTGGGGTCCTGGGGGTGGATCCCGGGAGGGGGGTACAGTCAACCCGTATAGTAAGGATGCGCGATAAGGATGCAAGGGCCTTGGACGCCCATTACGCAGCTTTTCGAGCGGCGGGGCGCGGCCAACGAAAGTGGCCAAGGATGGACCGAGGAGGCAAGGATGCCCATCCCTACTATGCGGGTTGACTGCAACGGGGGAGGTCCCAGGGGTCGTGACCTCCCCCCAGGGAGGTCCCCCGGGTGGACACGGGGGACATGCTGGTGGTCCTTCTTGTGGGCAGCGGGGGGCCTTGGGAGCCCTTCCCCCGCCTCACCACCGTGGACAAGGTGACCACTACCCCCGCCTCCTTCCTGGGAGGAGGAGGGAAGAGGAGGAGGAGGAGGAGGAGGAGGAGGAAGAGGAGGAGGAGGAGGATGGAGGAGGAGGAGAGGGAGGAGGAGGGAGGAGGAGGAGAGGAGGAGGAGGAGGAGGGAGGAGGAGGAGGAGGAGGAGGAGGAGGAGAGGAGGAGGAGGAGGAGGAGACCCCCCTGCACCCTCCGCACTCGAATCTGCTGTTGCGGGGGGCCACGTGTTCTCCACCACGCCTGGAGGAGGCCTCGGATCTGCTCCGATGCGGCTTCCCCCTGGGGGGTCGGCGGCGCCGGTGGTAAGGCCTTCCCACTCTGGGAGGGTCAGATCTGGGGGGCAGCTGCGATCCACCTCACTCCCTTTGATTATTCGCCTCGGTCAACCGACGACTGGCAAACTACGCGTAGCTTCCTGGTAGCTTCCTTTCTATCCAGGCCCACTGAAGCGTACCCCACACTCGCACCAGTCGCCGGTCGATGTGGCGCACCTTCGCAAACAGACGCGTACTTAGCCCAGGGTTCGGGTCGCGAGTCCTGGTCGGGGGCACTTCGGCCAGCTGCAGCGCTCTGAAGCTCGCCAGAAGCCCAGGCGGCGCACTTAGAGGAACACCGAACTGCATCGAGATATGAATTTTCTCTGAAGTCCGCCAGGATTTCTTAGATCGGCGCTGGAGCCCCCTCCCTGGCGCGCGGGGCGCGCCAGTGGCAGCGCTGGAGGCGCCGCCAGGGGAGCCCAACGCCGCTCCAAGAAATCCGCGCGGACCTCAGAGAAGGTAGGTTTACGCCATTGGGCCCGCAGCCCTCTGGGTGTAGATGGTCTAACGATACCACCTGGTATCTTGCTTTCCTCTCGCAGAACTCCATCGTCCCTTCGGGGAGGGGTCCCCCCTCTCCTCCCTGGGTTTTTTCGAAGGGCTCCGCGAGGTGTCAGGGGGTCTTTCTTCGCCCAGATGCTCCAAGATGGCCTCCAAGATGGTCAGGGCCTCCGATGCTCCAGATGCTCCAAGATGCTCAGGGCCTCCGAGGCTCCAAGATGGCATCCAAGAAGGCTCAAGATGGCCGAAGATTGCTCAATATTGCTTCCAGCATGCCTCCAAGAGGCCCCAAGAGGGCCACGAAACGGTTCCAAAGGCTTTCGGAGCCCCCCCAGGACCCCACCAGGAGGCCCAGCTCCATCAAGCACCTACAGCATTTCGATGTTGTTTGCCTTCTCCCCTTTTCGCTTCTGATGTGCTTTTGAAGCCTCAAGATGACTCCACGGTGGCCCAAGGGAGCCGCAATAAGGGCCCAAGAGGCCCTCCAGTCGACCCCAAGAGCGTCCCAAGAGGGCCCCCAAAGGCGAACCTGAGGGCACCAAAGGGAGGCAACGCCAGGAGACCCCCTCCTTCAATCGATAGCCTCCAAGATGACCTCAAGAGGCCCTCCAGGGCTCCCAAGAGGGCCCCAAGCGGGCCCTAAGAGAGCTCCAAGAGGGCCCCAGGACGGCTCTAAGTGCCAAGAGCGTCCCACGAGGGCCCCAAGAGGCGGTTCGCCTCCTGCTCCTCCTCCTCCTACCGCGACCGGTTGTTACTGTGGCCCGTTGGGTGTTAGTGTGGCCCGTTGGGTGTTAGTGTGGCCCGTCGCGCGGCGGGATGGGAGTTACTGTGGCCCGCGCAGGCCGCTTAATGAAAAGTAATATGTAAAGGTATCTCATGTTAGATCTGGAGAGATTCGCAACCTGCACTCCCGCGCAGGCAAAAGTGGCCACAGTATCTCCCACCTGGAACCAACGTGGTAGTAGTGCTGTGTTAATGGTGTGGTGGTCGCTGTGCTGTGTTAGAGGTGAAGTGTTGGTAATGTTGTGTTAATGGTGTGGTGTTGGTAGTGGCTGGTTATGCTGTATGCTGTGTTAGTGGTGTGGTGTTGGTAGTGGTGTGCTGTGTTAGTGGTGTGGTGTTGGTAGTGTTGTGTTAGTGGTTGCTAGTAGGTAGTAGTGTTGTGGTAGTGGCAGTGATGCTGTGGTAGTGGTGTTGTGGTAGCGGTGTTGTGGTGTTGTGGTTG